GAGAGAGAGAGAGAGAGAGAGAGAGAGAGAGAGAGAGAGAGAGAGAGAGAGAGAGAGAGAGAGAGAGAGAGAGAGAGAGAGAGAGAGGATGATGTGGGGATAAAAAATACGAGGGATGGAAAGCTGGGAAAGTGGAGGGAAGGGAGTGTGTGATTATTACTGGCACATGCGGTGTGGTCGTGTTTTCAATCGTAATTCAATTTGAATTATGTTATCATATTATTCAATCAAATCTATGCCTCCTGCAGTCAGTCCGACTTCCTGCTTGCAGCCATGAGGCCATGTTTTGGGCCCTATCGCATTGGATATTCACAACTCGCCTGGAGAATAGGATACAGTTCTCGCCCATGTACACTCCCAATTCAAGGGGAAGTCCCCTCTCAGTATGCAGCCCCGAACATTCAGGGATTAGAACATGATTTAACCAAATTACTAGTTGCCCCACAAGGCATAGACCACATGGGTGATCTACAGATGGCTGACCAGCATCATTTGGTTGAACAATTCATTTTTGCGCCAAAAGGCATATGCGAGGAATGTCCCCTCGCGGGGCCCTTACCAGACATACAAGCATTCTGGGCTGCGGCCCCCAGCAACCCCGTGGCCGCCCTAAGTGAAGGCGGGCCTGGATATCCACGCGAGGCCTGTTTTTGACATTTTTTCCATTTGTGGGTACTCAGACAGTTGCAGCATGCCAGTTGGTTACAGAGCAACATGAGCCTCCAGGCTCTTTCCAGAAGTGAGGGCTGTGCTGTACAGTTGAGCCCAGGGCTCAGGTGGTTGTGCCCTGGGCACTCGCTGTGTGTGGCCGACACAGGACTGGCCGCAGGCCAATGAGGAAGCAGCATTGTCATCACACATGAGCCGCGAGCCAATGAGAATGCTGCAAACATTTGGAGGATAGGTGGCTGCCAGGACGTGCCTAACTGCACGAGGCCCAGGCCAGTATCTTAAACTGGGCCTGGGCGTAGACACTTAGGGCCAGAGGCAAGCTACTGGGGCCCCCACACGCCTGGCCAGGCCAGCCAGCGGCAGGCACACTTTCCATAAAGGAAAGTGTGTGGCCCAGGGGAGGGCATTCTGGCCTGAGCAGGCATTGCAGGCACGCTGGTGCTTTGTCGTGCGACGCTGCGCTATGCAGGCAGGCTGGAGCGCACGCAGGCACTAAGAGGCGAGAGGGCACTGCGGTGGCAGTGGGCGCACGGCGACCATAGCCGGGCAGAGCGTGCGGGTGCAGGTGGTGGCGATGGTGGTCTTCGGGTAGGAGGCGCATGAAGTGGGGAGACGAGGGGTGATGAGGGGAGCAGAGAGAACATACTTGGTGTACGCTGCCGGTCGGCATTGGTGACGACATCATGTACATTGGTCTTCAACTTCGATGCGATCCAGTCACATGAACATAGATAGGCTAGATAGGCTTAGTATAGGCTGGACGCTGGGCGCCAGACAGTAGGAGCGACATTGGATACAGTGTTGGTGTGACCAGAGAGCGTTGGCATTGGCACTCGAGTTCATTGTATTGCTCTTATTTGGATGGTAGCTTGGTGCATCGTGCTCTCTGCTTGGTACATGACTATCTGGACTACTTTGTGATTTTGCAACTTGGATTTCTGTCTATCGCTCTCGCTCATATTCCTTGCACATAGACCACGTGGGTGATCAGCAAATGACTGACCAGCAAACAGCCCAGGGCATTTGGGGCTTGCCATGGCACCTGGGTGATCCGCAAATTGTTGGCCAGCATCCCACACCCCAGCTTGAGATCCCCCCGGACCTCTGTGGTCTGGCTGCAACTATTATTTGTCTGCACATTTTCCACTGCCCACTTTATACATTGTCAGACTTTCTTGCAGCTTGATCCTGATCTTCTCTGCCCACAGACAGAGGGTTGTGTTATACCAGGGAGGGAGGCTTTATCCATTTTAAATCCATCCAGCACCATCTGCCAGTTTCAATGTCTGCCTCTCTTCCTATCACTGTTCCTGCTGAGTAAGGACGAGAGGATTTCGGTATCAGAATGGGTGTAACTTTAGTACTAGAGCTACTATCTGTGGCCCATATTTCGTCCTTCACACCTCCAGTTTTTTCTTGTGAAGAACTGCCTTATCTTTAGATGTTCCTCGGAGTTGGTCAATTGTGTCTCCTGCAAGACGATGATGTCAGCTGGCTTATTTAATGGGTCTTTTAGTCCCTTAATTATGCCATTCAGTTTATCTTCTTTGGTACTAAATTACTACTAATGTTACCCAGACTGTTGATATCCCAGCTGCAGATAGTGATGCCTTGAGCTTTCCAGTTCACCCTTCCCCCTTTAGCAGTGGATTCTTTTCTTAGCACTTCCATGGTTAGACCAGTGGGGTGAACCTAGATTCATTAAGGACATCGGCTCTAAGAGACCCCCGAGCCTCCAGTCTCCATAGAATCGGCCGAGTCACCCGGCTTGTCTGGCTGAGTCACGGTCAAGGAGTCGTCCATCCTGTATTCTCCTATGCTGTCAGCAGCCCCTTTCTCCGTGGGTGTGTCCGAGTGTGATTCATCTTCTCCGTGTTCCACTCCGCTGAATCCTCTTCCATTTCTTCTTCAGAGTAAACATCTCTGAACGTGTTTTGTTATTAACAAAAAATAAAATTAAAAATTTAAAAAATCCGGAAACAAATTATTTTCTGCAGAAAAATAAACTGAAGTTTACTGAACAACTTTTGCCTCAGGCTCACATTGAAATTCTTTCCTAAATAAAAATACAAAATGTATTTTACTAATTTTTAGTATTTTAGTCTATTTTACTATTTTACAATTTTTTAATTTTAATTCGTTTTTTGCCCGGGCGGGCAAAGTGGCCTCAGGCCACTCTGATAACGTAGGTTGTGAGCCATTGGTGACAGTTTTGCAAGTCAACCTTCAATCCTCAAGCCTGTTCAGAAATGCAAACTCGGCACCTCAGGCTTGCAATGCTTAACCCTTGTTGCACAAATGAGTGATACATGCTCTTAAACTATGGGAACAGCGTCTGAAGCTTTTTTGGTGACTATGGAATGGCATACCCACACCCTTCAAGCAATCTCTACCTCGATCTGTTCAGTCCTGAACCTTTTCTTGCGAGTCAACAAGTTACCCAATCCCCACATTGACGTGCTGATCCCTGAACCTTCTGGGAGACCAGAAGGACACAACTGCCATCTCGACCTTTTGAGCCCTGAACCTTTCCTAGTGACTCATACCTGCACCTTTCAACCAGTCCCCACTTTGTCATTTTGATGGTCCTCAGCAGGTCTTTTCAAGTTTGCATTGCTTCTGACTAGAATGATCGAACACGTGGTCTGTTGCAGATCCCAGAGGTCATGCCGGTGACAAGTTGTCAGTAGGGAAAGCAGACACAGCTACTGACTGTGAGCAAGATACATCGATATTGGAGAATCCGGCCACATCTTCGGCTTTTAAGATCCTTGAAGAATTGTCTTCCTGTGACCGCCCAGTCGCATCCGCTCTCCCTGCTCACACTGCTGGAGGTGGTACAAGCATCGTGTCTGCCGATGTGTTGGAGAGGGGGTGTTATGTTCAGCAATTGCCAGTGGTGGATCATGAGGTCAAAAAGGTGGGTATCACTCTCTGCAGGTTCTCTGGCAATATGCACTGTGGAAAGGCTTGCTTATTTGGGACTGCTGATTTTTTTATAGGAAGGAAGGAAGGACGTATGGAAGGAATCCATGTGTTAAGAACTTAAGACGGACTTATGTCTGCTACACTCCTTGGCCAATGCATGAATTTAGACCATACTTGCAAGCACACAAACTGCACCGTCATGCGGTGCTGTCCATGTGCGCTGAGCAGCACCTCCCTGTGCGCCGCACAGAGCTGTACTGCACCGGACCGGTCCCACGAGGTGCGGTGTGCTTCTGTGTGCGCTCAGAGCGGTTTCCGCACCACGCAGGGCTGTGCGGTGTGTTTTCTTTTTTTTTCTCAGTTCAGGGGTGGGGGGCTACGTTGGGGTACATGCAGGGACCATGCGTGCTCGTCGAAATGACACTACCTTCTTAACCCGAAAAAAATGTACGTACCTTGTATCCGAATACAACGTACGGGGTACGTTGTATACGTTGTATTTGAATACAATCCTGGTCATTTCCCAGGTGCAAATTCACAATGAAAGACAATGCCACCCAATTGCGAAAGAAATGAAAGCACTTGCAAAGAGATAAAGACCAGAGGAGAGAGAAAGAAGAAGAAGAAGAAGAAGTATACCAGCAAGACCAATGACAATTCCCCCTTCTCACTCCACCTTCCTCCTCCTCCTTCACTTCACCAATCTTAGTCTTCTCTCAATAATAATAATAACAATGAATGGATCAACCAGAATCAATATCCGAAGTTCCCTCTTACTGCTGACTCAACTCAACAACAACAACAACAACAACAACCAGTCCACCATAGCTATGGCTTCCCTCCTTCAGCCTCCTCTCTCATGCATAGGCTATGGCGGACTAATGAGGGCATTGCCCTGATGTCCAAAGGACAACCCAAAGCAGCTATGCCGCTGCTGACTTGGTCCGCTATGCCTGACTCTGCCTCGAGCTTCCCTGGTGCCGCACTACCCCAACTGGGGCCTTCCAGATGCAGCGCCCAACAAGGTGATGAAGATGGTGTCTACCATAGCCAGGTAAGTGCCCCG